AATACTGACCGATGTGATGCAGAAATCAACGCTTATATACTGCACACCACTGTACAAACGGTAACCGACCATCCTGTTGTACAGTACATTTTGTTCTACAGTACATCCTGTTGAGAAACCAGTGAGCTGCTTCGGCATATTGTAAGCATGTACTTTGCCAACAGCCTTTCTAGAACAGAAAGCCAGCGCCGAGTGGGGGGTTAACATTTTCTCACCAAATCTTCTCCAATTTTTGCACGCTTGAGAGCGTACATGACGTCATATTGGCTCCTTGTTGGCGATCATTGACTTTGATTACCATACTCAGTCTTGAGAACCAAGTTCATTTCAAGACACAACCCCGATCCGGAATCAACACGATCGGTGTGTCTCAATGCACCACGTCAAAATATTCTCTTCACAATTGATAACAAAAAATCTGTAGGATTCTTTGAGGTAGTTTTCGCAGTACTCGTATTAGCTTATTGACAAGTGTCCTCAATGTAGGAGTTATCGATGACAGGTGATAAGCCCAACATCTCCTGGTGTCACAGTCTTGCAATTTTTTAAAGAAAATACCCAAAAAAACTTCTAGCTCAATAATGCTTTTAGAGAAAGATGTAAGAAAGATAACATTATCTGGAACCCTTTGGCCTTTTCATTCACAAATTTCTCACCACAAACCCACGGAGCTTACATAGTCGACATGTAGGTGCATCACACGACAGTGCTGACTTGGCAGTACCTATTTATTCTTAATAGGTTGAGCTATGCTTTATTAGAGCATGACCAATCTACTTGTTGCTTGCTGTCGCTCTTTAACTCCGCCATTTTTAAACAAAATACATCAGCTTATAGCTGTCATTTATCGCTCCACTCAGCGTAAATTTAGGCGACCACAGGCGCTTTTCTATCTCGACCGAGATTATATCGGGTTGTTGAAGTACGCGATTGCTTCTCTCTGTTATATCCATAATACACGGCCCACTGCCGCTAATACTTTTCGAGCTTTGCTTTAGATATCTTTGCTCTAGATTTCTTTGCTATACAAATCGGACAATATCTTGCTTTAGACACCAAAGCTATCGTAATGATCTAACTGCGGTGGCCGCGCTATAAGGACTTCTGGCTTCTGGCAGTGGAGAGTTCATGACTAACTTTGTGGCACCTGGATGTTTGGCTTCCAGTCAATCCATGTATCATGGTGTTTAAGAGACGCGATACCGAAAATAAGAATCTTGGTGTAAGACGCGACAAGGTCTCGTGGTGTCAGAGCCTCAAATTTTACAAAAAATATTAGAATCTATTACCATTTTTATATTGTCCCCCGCAAGCTGCAAGAATGATGTAAATTTTTTGAAAATCATTAATGCCTTCGCATACTGTTTACTGTTTGTATGAGTCGCGCGTCGTACGTAATTGCACGACGTTTCAAAATTTATCGTCGATTTCTAGAGCCTCACGAAGCCCGAGATGTCGATTTTATCAATCAACAAGTATGAGCAGTGAGTCCCACCATTTCATAAGAAGCCCCCTCTTTGAGGACTTTGTCCTACTGATTTCAGCATCTACGATGCACAAAACACCTTGCCTCTTTCCCAGTTGCTCGTCCTATGTCTATTGTGCCTTACACCTTATCATTTTTTCCAGCGAGGAATCAAATGGTCAATCTTAAGGAAAAGCTCGACCATCTGTGGCTCTCAGCCGAGAGTTAAACGAGCAGACAAGGCGCAAAGGGTTGATCCTATCACAGAAAAAACGTCTGCGAGTAGCGCAGAGCTGCTTGACGGGCAATATCGCTTTTCTTCCTTTTCAGCATGGCCGAGGTCTTTAACCCCTGGCGCGATAATAGAGCTTTCGTCTCCAGTATTTCAACCAGCCCTCCCGGCACAAAGTTACGCACCGCATTCAGTCCAGCATCACCCTTTTATTTGGAAGAGTCGAGGTGTACGCGGAAGGCCTTCGAGTGAGCGCTCACAAGATTTCGCATTCATCATCGGGTGAATAGGAACTTGTTACACACCCGATTTGCTTGATCAGACGGTACAACAACCAACGACTCGATTCAATCTTGGTAAATTCGGAATGCCGTTTCTGCTAAGGCACTGCACGTGAGTGCCCATTCCTGCGCGCGGCCTCACGCTTGGAGACAGCAGGTGTGACGCACTGTAGCTACGTCCGAAGTATGGTCAAAATCATTGCTGTCTCAGTTTCCCTTGTCTAGAGAAATAGTATTTATTTGACCCTGCCCTTTTAGGGCTGGATAATAAACAAGCGACGAATGTCATCTGGTCTGCAGCTAAGCTATGTTGAAGGGGAAGGATCCTAAAGGTGCCTCAACAGCTCATTTTCACTAATGTTGAGCGCCTTCAGGCAATTAAGTTACAGCATGTACCCCTTGTTTTCTAGTTTCAGACTTCTTTAGAGCCAACGATCGCTGAAAACGTAAAACTTATTATCAAAAACAGGGAACCGAGCAAGTATCCCATTCTCACAGAGATTACAGTCCTTCCACGACAAAGGTGTCTGACTCACTACGAGTGCTATCGTGAGCAACAGGGATTGTCTTAGTCGTTGCACAGAGAATGTATTGATCCAGTGAGTCCACCTACATAGCGCAAGTTAATATTTTCTGTCTTAAGGCCGGTGGAGATGGATGATCGGAAGGCTCAGATAGAAGGGCCAAATTCTGCCGTTACTAAGTCTGGGCCATTCTCGTCACGATGTAACGGTAATGCTGAGTCAGCACTACCACGTGATTCGATCACCGCGTACCAACCGCATCATTTGGGTCATCTCATTACCATGCCGTTTATCGTACACATCCTCAAGGAAT